TCTGTTAAATCTATGGCGGTCAGGAAATCCCCCTCCTTAATCCCCTCTAGAATCGACTGGAGGGAATGTATTTTAAACCGCCTGTATTTCACCTGGTAATTAAGACACTTCAAGTCCAGAATTGCCCTCCATCCCCCAGGTTTTAGGGATTACAAACAAGATGGAATAAAATCCCATGCCCTGTTGGTCCTCAGGCACCATCTGAATTGCCTGGATTTCCAGTAGGTGCTTAATAGCTGTTTCCATAAGGGCCTTTCTCTCCCTGTTCTTGGAAACAGGACAGCGAATAAAAAATCTCGGGGGTGTAGAAAGGAACTTAATGGAAAGACCCGAGCTGACAGTCTCCAGGACCCAAGCGTCTGTGGTTACCTCCTCCCAACACCTGGCAAATAATGCCAGACACCCCCCCAATGGGAGGGTTGACATTTATCTGGGGCATCGGGACGGCCCCCAGCCCCTTGAAAGGGACGCTTATTGTTAAATGGGTGATTTCTACCTGTCCTGTCCTGGGGTTGATCCTGCCTGGGGATGAAAGGCCTCTGGGGCCTAGAAAACCCCCCTCTTGCTTCAGGAGTCCTATAATAGGAATGTCTGAGATAGGGAGTTGATCTTAAATCACCCTTTCTGGAGCTGGACGTCAAGACCTTCCCTTTGTCCTTGGACTCCACCAGTACTTTGTCCAGAGCTTCTCCAAATAATTTATCCCCTTTAAAGGGAGCAGTGGCCAACCTCTACTTATGTCTCATATAAGCTTGCCAGTGTCTTAGCCAGAGCAGGTGGCAAGAGGTCACAGTCCCCACTATTGCCTTAGATGCAAATCTGGCCACACGGAGGTTAGCATCACCTGAAAATTCCACTGCTGCTAATAGCTTGTTCACATGTTGGTGTGATCTCACATCGTCCAGTGGAATTCTCTCTTGCAGCTCTTGGAGCCAGATAAGGGAGGCCCTGTTGAAAAGGGATGCAGCCACGGAGGCCCTCACTGCCCATGCTGCTGATAAGTGTGCTCTCTGCAATGTCTGTTCAGCCCTCTTTACCTCTGCTTTCAGCGAGTCCTCACGCTCCCCAGGGAAGTTGGTGTTGGCTTGCAGGGCCGCAACTGGGGCGTCAACAGCAGGCACTTCCAAGGCCTTGGAGAAGTCACCTCCCACATTGAACAGATTCTTGTCCAGGGAGGAAGGGCTTGGACCCGACCAAAGGAATGACCACTACCTTTGGATGACCATGGTGAACATCCTTGGCGCAGGGATGACATCTGCTGTTACTGTTTTTTTGGAGAATAGTGGGTCATTGGGGTCTTCAGAATGGTCAGTAGGCTCCTGTGGTTCAGGAACCAAGCCCCACCCTGTGGCTTTTTTAGCTTGAAGAGGAGCAACCTGAAGATGGCTGGTTGGACCAGGCCTGGCATAGAGACTTGTTCAGCCACATTGAGGCCTTCATCATCAGAGTAATCTCTGTCCATCATTTGCCCATTGTCAGATGGGATGGAGTGGGAGCTTTCAGCAGGGACATAGAATGCTGATTCTAAATGTAGGGAGAGATCATCCTCATGATAAGACTTGTGTCTCCTACTATGCCTGGATGAAGGGCTGGAGCCTCTGAAAGTGAACACCTAGTCTAGAACACCTGAAAGCGAACACCTAGTCTAGAACACCTGTTTTAAAACAGCTGACACCCCTTGCCTTACTGCCTCATTTAAAAAAGCCTGCATGCTAAGTTAGAATTCAGGCTCTTGCTCCCTGACTGGTCTAATGCGAGCTGACATGGGAATAAATGTGGCTTCTGGAGCCATTCTGGGTCTCTGACCTATAACTGTCAGTTGCTCTGTTGCTGGGCAGACTGAGAAAAAAATTTCTAACCTCTGAAGCCACAAGAGACTCCTGTTGCTCTTCACCCCACCCCCCACCCCCGTGGCCGTTTGTTACTGCACTCCTGTCAGTTTGCCTATCTCCTCTTAATAATGGTTGCTCCTCATTTAGGCGGGAAACTATACTTGGTGCCATTTCTTCTGAAGTTTGGGCCGCTTCTTTTCCTCGAGCCCACAACTTGTCAAGAGCCTTGTCTCTATGGCGCTCGTCCCGCTCAGCTGCCTTGGAGCTCTTTCGAGCCCTTGCAACCTTGTCCTTTGGCTTGGGCTATAACAGGAAGACATCTGGTCTGGGGCTGCTGGGATTAGAGACCGCGATGGCCTGCGAGCTGTCTCCTCAACTCTCCTGACAGCATGGCTACCGTTCTGCGATTTTGCCATTTTTAATTCTGATGCTGTTATTCTGGAGCTTCCACAACTTATTCTACAGCCTTCCTATCACTATGCTATCTAAAGGTTACTCTTCTTACCTGACCTGTCAATGTGTGAGAAGATTTCTGCCTTCGCTGCAGTCTTCTGCCCCTTCAATGCTGCCACGGTAAAACAGGCGTCTGCATGGCTGTATTTAAGCCATTGAGAGACTTGCCAAGCCAAAGCGCAGGGATGCGGTGTGGGTGGTGTTTCTACACACCTCCGGCGAAAAAACGATGTAGATCAGCCCTTAGCCGATCACTTGTCCGTTGAAATAGTATTCAGGATTGGTGATTTTTTTTTCTTTTTTCTTTCCTATTTGTCAAATTAAATTGCTTCAGATTTTGGCTCTTTAGGAGAAGAATTTAACATGTCGTCCAGCTAGCTGACTGAGTCAATTTCTGGGAGGACCCTAGCAACAGAGGGAGTGTCCTCAAAGATTTGACAGACTCAGTCCAATCAGCAAGCAGAGACTGAATGCTATCTCCACCACAATGGAGAAACAAATCCAGCAACTGAAAATGAAATGCTTTTTCTTTTCCTAGTCGTGAAATGGCCTGAAATGTTTCACACATCAAAATTCACATTTCCATTTTATGTTATATGCATGAGACCATAAACATTTTGGGGGGCGGTAGACCATAGATAGATTCATTGCTATGGTATTGAATTCTGTTTAAATGGTTATTTCTCTGTGAACAGAATAGATGAATCAAAGGAAATTAACCTTGTTCTTTTATTAGTATATTCATAATATTTATCAAGGTATTAGCAAACGGTCTATCTTACATACAAGATAGACTTTTCATTTGCTAGTACCTCTGTAAATATTATGAATATTTATACAGATAGTCCTCAAGTTACAACAGTTCATTTAGTGACCATTTGAAGTTACAACGACACTGCAAAAAGTGACATGACCATTTTTCACACTTATGACTGTTACATCCCCATAGTCATATGATTTACATTTGGATGTTTGACAACTGGGTTGTATTTACGATGGTTGTAATGTCCCAGGATCAAGTGATCATCTTTTGTGACCCTCTGACAAACAAATGGAAAAGTCAAATTCACTTAACAACAGTGTTACTAATTTACAACTTCAGTGATTCACTTAATAAATGTGGCAAGAAATATTGTAAAATGGGGCAAAACTCACTTCACAAATTTCTCACTTAGCAACATAAATTTTGGGCTGAGTTGTTGTCGTAAGTCGAGGACTACCTGTACTTCCACAACACAGGTGTCAAACTCACCACATCATGTTGCCATCATGTGATGTTTCGCAATGTTCTTTCCCTTCACAGAGCTGGGGTGGGCATGGCCTGCACGTGACACATCAGGCCTATGGGCCACCAGTTTGACATCCCTGTTCTAGAAGAACAAGGCTAATATTCTTTGATTAGTCTATTCTGTTCACAGAAAAATAACCATTCAAACATAGAATTCAATACCCTAGCAAAGATACTCATGGCCTTCCAAAAAAAATTGAATAACTAGGTCCCAGCATTAATTTGGGCAATTATTTAAGCCTGGACAAACTTGTACATCTGGTAGGTTTTTTTAAAAAACCCTAAAATATTTTCAAGACTTAATTACTGATGCTCTAATTTAATTTATTGTTCAGAAAAGACCATGTTCATTTTACTAAGGTGAGGAAAGTACAGCCTATGCATTATTAATTCAGCTGTGCTTTGTTTGTTTTATACTAATACACGCAATAATAATAGCAAGATTTTCATGTGAGACTGCAAGAATTTTTCTTTTCATTTCAGTTTGTTAATGCATTATAAACCACATCAACTACAGTTTTATGCAAAGTGAATTACAAATGGACTTCTTTCCCTCTGCCAAATTTTTCAGAAACAAATTTTTAAGATCTTGCTGCCTTTCTGAATTATTTACATTTTCCTCGTAGCATGATACAACTGGCATCTAAAATAGTTCCTTTGCATCATAAAATTGGGTATTTTGAATGTTCACAATTGTATTTTCATGACTGTCTGGGGGGGGGGGGTCTACTAAATACCAGCAATTTCATATAGCCGAGCATAAGAAACCATTCACATATCAGAATCTAATGCGTCCAAAAGAACAGAACAGAACAGAACAGAACAGAACAGAACAGAACAGAACAGAATAGAATAGAATAGAATAGAATAGAATAGAATAGAATTCTTTATTGGCCAAGTGTGATTGGACACAAAAGGAATCTGTCTTGGTGCAAATGCTCTCAGCGTACATAAAAGATAAATTCATCAAGAGTTAAGAATCATCAGGTACAACACTTAATAATAGTCATAGGGTACAATAAGCAATCAAATCATACTAGGAAACAGTCAATATAAATCATAAGGATACAAGTGACAAAGTTACAGTCATACAGTCACAAGTGGGAGGGTCGTTTAAGTTCTACCTTTCCTGAATTTACATATTCATGCTCCAAATCAAAGATATAATAATCTCAACTAGCATGTGCAAAATATAAAGTAGTGCAACAATACAAACTTATTTAGCAATGAACCTTGTTAGTGGAATCATAGAATCATAGGGCTGGAAGAGACTTCTGAAGTCTTCTAGCCCAACTCCCAGCCCAAGGTAGGAGTCTCATTCCATCAAAGTTTTGTTCACATTCCTGAAGTATTAAATGTTCTTATGCTCTCCTGAATACTTTACTCTTACTCCTGTTTTTATATAGTGTATTCTGATTTTATCTTACCTGGGAGTGTTATTCTTTTCAAAAAGAAGTCAAGTCCTATGGTTTGCTTGTATTGCTTTCCAAAAGTATCGTGAACAAAACGAGTAGCTAAGGAGGTCTAAAAAGAAAATTATATCTAATTCAGAAGCAATGAACAAAAACCCTAAATTTAAACTCTATTATTTCTAATATTTTATTTCTTTCGCTTATGGTAATAATAAAGCAATTTTGTACAGTAATACTACAAACACTTTACCCATCATCACAGCTCTTAGGATCACATCAAATATTAATTAATCAATTAACTAAATACTAAATACTAACAATAAATAAAATATATTGCAATTCGGAACATCATACAAAGAAATTGCCACCTCCTGAAGCTCTGGCTACTCAACTGATATATACTGAGTAAGTGGAAAAAGGAAGTAAGGGGAATGCATACCTGTTCTTCATTCTTTTAAACACTGTGTGAAACATGAAAGAAAACAATGAATGCCATTGCTGAAAAGAGATTAGATCACTTTCAGCAACAGTATCCCAACAATCCTTAGCATTCTTTCTTTTTTAAAAAGGAACTCACTGAAAACAACATGGAGTTGGACTAAATTTGAACTGTATTTCACCTTCAGGTAAAAAGGTATTGATTATAGATTTTTTAAATCTAAAAATCCCACCTTTATTATAAATTCAAAGCAATGAAAATACCTAATACTCCTTATATTTTCCCCATGAAAACAACCCTGTGAGGTAAGTTGGACTGAAGGACTGGGCCCAAGTCACCTATGTGTTTCTTCCATGCCTAAGGTGGGACTAGAACTCCTAGCATTCTAGTTTCTAGCCTAGTGCCTTCAATACTAGACAGAACTAGCTCTAGACCAAAGTTCCTAAAACAATAAATGTATTATCACACCACTTCTATTCTTGCCCTTAATTTAATTAACTAACCTACAATCACTGTCTTTTCACATAATTTTCTTCGGGCTTCTTTTTGTCTTCAGAATTTCACCTACCCAACAGTAAAATATTTCCAAATAAATCTATTTTGAATTTGTACTCAAAATATATGTACGCATGTAAGTTGTTTGATGTATATATATCCAGAAATAAACCCATGCATACCACATAGAAAAAAAATGTCTGATGTGTTATTACAAAACCAAATTACATTATCAGTTGGCAGACCATTATTTCCTGCTGTAATTCCAAATACATAATTTTTTCCAACTTGCATATACAGGTACCTAATGATCAAAATGGAGGTGAAGTTTACAAGTAATAACATATCCTGAATTGCACCCAAGCTAAGGAATATACCATTGGTAATGACTTACTCTTCACTTTTCTACCATTAGAAAAGGAGTTCAGACATTCTTCTTCAATAAAGTTTTACTTTTGAATTTTACCAATAAAAAATTATTTCTCAGGGGACCTCTGCCCAGACTAAGTGGGAAGGCTGAATGATGATGGGATGAGCTAAGGTCACCCTTGTAGTATGAGCAAATGGGGAGGAGGGCAGGTGGGACACAGCAGATATGAAGAAAGAGAATTAAATCAACAAACTTCCAATCCAACTTGGAAACCGGTACTGTATGATCAAGAACACCTGATGGATGCAGCTGAAACAACAACTTTGGATGCCAAAGGTCAGAACATACTGGACAGACACTGAACTTTCACAAACAGATCTGAGTTGATGATGTAAACAGACAAAAGTAAAAATACTTACTTATTCACTGAAAATGTCAGTACTGAAAGAATTCCTAGATTTACAAGGACATTTCCAATCAAAATATGGGGGGAGGGGAAGGGAGGGGAGGGGAGAGTGTGATATTTTAGAAACTCACCAAATATCAACCCATATTTTATTCTTAAAACAAAAATACAAGAATTTGACAATAATATTCAAGTTTGCTGGCAAATAAGTTTTAAAAAATGAAAGAGATATATAATGGAATAAAAAATATTGAACATCACATCTTCACTAACACTAAAAATATTAGTATACATTTATAAAATTTATAATTTTAAAATTTAATTATAAAATTTATAAAATTTAGTTTTTATGGAACTAAACACTTCTGAAAACCTGCAAGAGAAAAAAAAATTACTAACATCTCAACAAACTGGATTTCCCAGAATTATTTTAATGGATGCTCAATACTTGAATACTTGAGATTTTACAATCAAAAGTTGAATATATTTTTAAGGCTTTAATAATGGAAAATCTCCAGATCCTGATGGGCTAACAGCCAAATTCTATAAGGCATTTGGATATTCTTATGCTAGAATTTCAGGAAACTTGTATTCCCTTATCCTAGCACTGTTCTAATTCCCAAACTAAGTAAAAAAGACCAGTTAAAAGTTTTTTCTTACATATTCATCTCTTTTAATCTTGATAATCAATTATTTATTAAACTATTTTATAATTTATATAATTACATATTTAAATTATATCATTTATAACTTAAGCCAATCATATTAGTTATAGGAAAAATTATTCATTCTGATCAATCACATTTTACTCAGAAAAGATCTAGTCCTATTAGAAAATTGCTAAGTGTAAGGACCAGCCTTTCCCCTCCTTCAAAATATAAGTATGAATTCTTGAAAACTTTGTATTTCAAAAGGAATCTTTTTACTGAAGAGGGGTAAAGCACGTCAAAATTCAAAGCAGGGTCTAGGGTCCCTCAGGCATGCAACTAAGATAAAGGGAATTAGAACCCCTCCCCGCAGTCCCATGTGAAAAATGTTGCAGAAAAACAGAAGAAAGAATTAATGGAAATATTAGACATTCAGTTCACTAAGAAAATAAATTTAGGAATTCAATTAACAGCAAGATGTGTAACGATTAAGGAAGACAACTATTATGGGTTGAAACAGCAAATTAAGATAGATCTGGAAAAGTGGGAAAATTTGCAATTATCCCTAATAGGGAGAATAGCAACAATTAAAATGAATATACTGCCTAGGCTATTGTATCTGTTCCAAACAATTCCGATAAAACTGGAGAAAAAATATTTTGAAGAACTTAATAGAATAATACTAAAATATGTATGGCAAGGGAAAAGAGCAAGAATTAAGTTAAAAATGTTACAGGATACAAGAATTAGAGGAAGGTTTGGATTACCCAGTTGGGAATTATATTACCAAGCTGCGGTGCTAACATGGATAAAAGTGCATTGTATTGGAGGGGCATGATTTACTACCATGCCTTTACTACCATGTATGGGAAAAATAAGATACATAGTTACTTTCAAAGACGCTATATCAGAAATGCTTTATTGTTAATTTGGAAGAAAATGAGAGAACAACATTATTTGAAGATTCCAGTTTGGTTTTCAACAATGGAAGCACTTATACATCCAGACATTATTAATAGGGGAAATATTGTTAGATACAAAGATATTTTGAACAAAAAGGGTGAGCTCTAAATGAAACAATTATTAAATGAACAAGGGTTTGATATGGTTTGGTATTCACATATGCAAATATGTTCTAAATATGAAAAAAATGTGAAAAGGGTCATTGGTTCTTACCTGATATGACCTTTTTCGTTTGGTGGAGATAGCATCCAGGATTGGGTTGTCAGTTGCTGCTAGCTGATTGGACTGAATCTGTCAGATCTGTGAGGACACTCCCCTGTTGCTAAGGGTGCCCCAGAAATTGGCGAATAGTGAGACTGATGTGTTTTCTTGTTGTTGTTGTCGTGCTCTACTGGATTCGGAATGGACCTCCATCAGGGTGGGGCTAGATGCTATCTCCACCAAACGAGAAAGGTCGTATCAGGTAAGAACCAACAACCCCTCTCCATTGTGGTGAAGATAGCATCCAGGATTGGGACATACCAAAGCTGTCTGTCGTATAAGTGGACCTAGTTCGGTTTGAATCCTTTAGACAGGGTGGACCTTTTGAAGAACTCTCCGTCCAAACTCTCTGCCTCCAGAGATGCAAAGGAGTCCAGCTTATAATGTTTGATGAACAGAGAAGGCGAAGCCCAAGTTGCCGGACTGCAAACCTCCTCCAGAGAGACCTGAGTGACCCACACCGCCGACGTGGCCTCGTTTCTTGTCGAATGGGGTGTTATTCTTGGAGGAACTGCAAGTTCTTGGGATTGATAGGCTTTGGAGATGCACAGACTGATCTACCTCCCCACAGTCATTGGAGTAACCTTACAACCCATGGTATAGGGTTGAAATGATACAAAAGGAATTCAGACTTCCTGAAAGGAGAAGTTCATTTGCGTATATAAGAAGGGCCCTTCAAACATCCAGTGTGTGCCATCTTTTTTCTAAAGTATGGACAGGTTTTGGATAGAAATCAGGTAATATCAGTTCCTGGGCCCTGTGGAACCAAGAGTTCACCTTTGGCACGAACGAAGAGTCCAATTTCAAAATAACTCAGTTGGGGTGAAAAATACAAAGGTCCTTCTTAACAGATAAGGCAGCCAAGACCGAAATCCTTCTGGCCAAGGTGATGGCTACCAGGATGGCCCCCTTGCAAGACAAAAAAATGCGGAGAAGTAGATCTCAGTGGTTCAAATGGGGCCTCAGTCAGCGGATGCAGTACTTTAGAGAGGTCCCATATGGGGTATTGATGAACCACTGGAGGCCTCAGATTTGTAGTCCCATTCAGAAATCTGCAGATAGTAGGATGTCTAGATAGGGATTCTGAGCCCCCCAAAGAAGGTACAGAAGATAAGGCCTCCCTTGTCACCTCAACGTGTTGGGTGACAGGCCCTTGTCAAGTTCTTCTTAAAGAAAGTCCAGCACCTGGGTGACTGAGGCCTCGGTAGAGTCCATCCTAGATCAAGAGCACCATTCACAGAAAGCCCTCCAGGTCACGTCATAAATGTGATTGGTGGAAGGCCTCCTGGAGGCCTGAATGGTTTGTATCACCTTGGAGGAGAAATAGTCCCAGATCAGAGATCCCCGCTCAATCTCCAAGTGGTCAATTGAAGTCACTGGGATTCCAGATGTAACAAGGGTCCCTGGCTGAGAGATACTCTGTCCGCCGGTATCCTCCAACGTTTGGTCAAAGATAGGTGTACTAAGTCTGCAAACCATGGCCATCTGGGCCAATAAGGAGCCACAAGTATGAGCTCTACTCTTCCCCCCA